TGAAATGGTTAGAGTAACTCCAGTAGAAGATAATATTAGAGAGACGCCTTATAGATGGTTTGGTCACATAAAACGGCGGCCTTCCAATGATCCGGTTAGGAGAGTAGAGGTATTAGATTTGACTTATGTTAAGAAAGGTAGAGGCAGACCTAAAAAGACTTGGTTAGAAAATATTAGGAATGACCTTTCTTTATTAGATTTAAACGAGAATTTGACCTTTAATAGGACACAATGGAGAAAAAGGATTCATGTAGCCGACCCCACGAAGTGGGATAAAGGCTTGATGTTGTTGTTGTTGTTGTGTAGCAGTGAATTTAAAAGCAAAATGAGCTCTAGTGTTGGTGGGAGTGGTTCAAAAAAGTAATCCAAAGAAACTGATAAGCCATTATAGATTCATGTTACAAGGTTATGAAAAATTTTTGAAGGAGAAGGGAATGTGTCATTTAAATGCAATTATTGTGGTGGCACCTACAAATGATCTTATTCTAGGGTGAAAGCACATGTACTTAAGATTTCTGGCCATTGAATTAAAATGTGTCCTAAGATTTACTACGTCACAGTTGATTGAATTGAACAAACAAGTTGATGAAGTTGAATCTAGGTTTAAAAGGGCACTTCCTAAAGAGATACCTTTTGGCTTTCACTGATGATTTGTGGTGGGATGATGTAGATTATATTTTGGCTTTCACTGATTCGATTTATGACATGTTGAGAGAGGCTGACACAAATAAATCATGCATACATTTAATTTATGAGATGTGAGACTCTATGTTAACAAAAGTGAAACATATTATATACAGACATGAAAGAAAGTCACATAATGAAGACTCAAGTTTTTGAAGCATTGTCTATATCATTCTTGAAGATAGGTAGACCAAAAGCAACACACATCTACATTGTTTGACCCATTCATTAAATCCAAGGTACATTTGTATTCATTTTTTAAATTAATTTTAAATTTCTTGGTAAATAAATAAATAATTTTATATGTTTTGTATTATTTGAAGGCATTCAAGTAAAGAATGACTTCAAAAAAATCCTCAACGTGTCTCACCACAAAAAGATTTAGAAGTGTCAAATATGAGAAAGATATGCTTGAAACGATATTTTTCAAATGAGAGAAGAAAAATTAATATAGAACTTGCAAAGTTTTTTGGATATTTAGATGATTTTGGTGATCAAGAATCTTTGGTTGATAGAAGAAGGATGAATCCAAAAATGTGGTTGTTGATTCATGAAGCTTCAGTACCTCTTTTTCAAACCATAACAATAAAACTTCATAGTCAAGTTTCATCTTCTTGTTGTGAGAGAAATTGGAACATATACTCATTTATTCAATCAATAAAGAGGAATAAAATAACTTCACAACGGGCTGAAGATTTAATTTATGTGCATATAAATCTTCGTCTTCTATCAAGAAAAATCCCACTTTATATGACAGGTGATAACAAGATGTGGGATGTTGCTGAAGATGGACTCGAGTGCCTTGATGATATGGGATTATTGGAGGTTGCAAATCTTTCTCTAGATGAACCAGAGTTGAAAGCAATGGTATTCAATGATGATGATATTAAAGGCCAAATACCAACCTCTGAATCTAATTCTATCATTCACTATATTGAGTAGTTGGACTTTCATGTTGTACTAAATGATTTTTTACTTATATTTTTGTGCTTGTACTAGACATTTTGTACTAAACATCTTTATGTTATAAGCTAAACAAGTTATCATTACTTTGATTTATTATTGCTTGTCATTTTTAATATAATGTTACCTTAATTTCTATATATTATATTAAAAAATTATTATGTCGTGTCCACGCCGCACCTGTATCCTATATTTTTTAAAAAATGACGTGTCCCATGTCCATGTCGCCGTGTCCGTGTCGATGCATCATAGTTAGGGAGTTAGGGATTGCCAAAGTACCCTTTTACCCTCACTTAAACTATTTCGGCATTAATACTTATTAGGGGTATTATAGGTATTATGAGATTTCTAACATTTTTATCTCCCAAAATTAAGCGAAATTAAAAATAAGTTCTATATACCAAATTTTTTAGAATTTTGCGTTGAATTTTATAAAATTATTTTCGTCAAATTTTGACTTTGAAAAATTCACTTAAATCTCGTCGAGACACATCGAAAAGCATACGAGGTCTAAAATTGACATTTTTCGGGTTTTACAATAAGTGAGAAAATGCATAAGAGATCAAAGATTTTCTTGGCATCCTAAACATCTTTATATTATTTTGAAGACAAAAGATGACATATGAGTGGAGAAGTGTGTTCTATACTTAAGAATAAAGATGATGCACGAGAGTATACGAATTATAGAGGAATTAAGTTAATGTTGTCACATTAAAATTATGAGAGAAAGTAATTGAGCATAGGTTACAATGTGATATCAATGTTTCTCAAAATTAGCTTAGATTCATGTTAGATAGGTCAATTATGAAAACTGTATAGCTTTTGAGAGGTTTGAGAGAGAAGTATAGAGAGAGTAAGGAGGATCTACATATAGTAGTTATAATTTAGAGAAAGCATATGATAAAATTACAAGAGAAGTGCTCTGGAGAGTTCTAAAAAAAAAGTAGTAAATATACTCAAGGCTCTGAAAATCAAATTGGTCATGAAACTAGATGAAGTAGAGGTTCACAATTCAGTGATTCAGCCGAATAAAATAAAAAATATATTGAAATTAGATAAAGGCTTGTTGTTGTTGACCTAAAAAATTTTGGTTAGAAAATATTTAAATAACAATTTTTATTAGATTTAAATGAGAATTTGACTCTTAATGGAGAGATAAGGGAGAAAAAGGATTCATAAAGTCGGCCCCACGTAATCAGATAAAGTCTAGGGAGAGAAAGATGCACGTATCATTCCATGCATGCACCTTTGAATGCATCTATGTATATTTCTTTGAATCTAAGAATGTAACTACGTATCTATGTTGATCAACAACTTGGTTCAGCAAGTTCATACCAATTTGCTGTAATCAAAATGAAATAAACCAAAACTTTTGTCATCACATTATCACTCATCACATTTTCTAAATCAAAAATAGTCTTTTAAGGAAATTGCATGACACAAGGCTTGAGGAGAGTTGAAAACATACGGGTTACTTAAACTCGATAAAGGCAGGGCCATAAAGCCCCTTGGCGTATAAAAACACAGTCAATAGATAAGTAATACAAGATGAAATACAAAAATGAAAATTGATTTAAAAAAAAAAAAAAAACTAAACATGGAAAACGTACAAATTTAAACCTCATCCACCAGTATCATCCAATATACTAAGTTTCTTGAGATCACCTCAATGGCCATACTGCTTTAGTTTTAGTTCTACAACGGTATACTTCACATTCGTTACATATTGTTATATAGCTTTCACTTATCTTACAGGTTATACGCATAGTTATAGTTACTAGTATGCTGACTATAAATAGATACTACTAAATTGATCCTTGCTCTAAAATGCCTATGCCAATTTAAATAAATTGGAAATAAGTTTGTTCTCGTTTAAGAAAATATCTTCAAATCTTTTAGTCTGAATTTAGTGTATGCATCACTAATCAACAGCAGGGTTAGTCATAAAAGAAAATAATATATAGCAACATTTGTAATGCCTTACAATTAAAATCCTAATATTCAAGCAAATGTTCCACTGAGAGAGCACAGCATGCGACAAATAGAAGGTCGAGGTTATCAGCTTTACAGGTTATCATCTTTACCTTCTTCACACGAGTGAGAATTTCAGGGCTTGATGCAACAAGTACGGAGCCCCTAGCCTACATGAAAAAGGAACAGAAAAATAAACTCAGAAGTTAGCAACAAAAGTCAAAAGGAAAGATAAATTAAGTTTATAGTATGACGACTCCACAGGTTCAAGTGTAAAGAAATTAGAAAAAAAAAAGAAAAATCTGAAAGAAAGCTAACACACTTGCAAATAAGTCATATAGGGACTTGGATTCACTATACGTAATGCTCGATAAACTTCAAACGGATCTGCAAATGTATGTCTCTGAAATCGCTGACTCAAGACTATCTGGAAAATATCTCCTGCAAGAATGTGTTCTTTTGCTCTCAAAACAGCCTCCTTGTATTCTTCCCTTGTCATAGATGAGATATTTAAGGGAGTGCCAAAATGGTAGGTACTCAATTTAACAGAACCAGCCGTGAGCCTTGGTCTGAAAAAAAAAAAAGCAGAAGAAAACTTTGTATGAGGAAAGCGGGAATCACAACAAGATAAAGGGGGTGATTCAGATATAGGTTACCCACACAACTGTATTGTGCACCCGTGCAAGTAAATTTTCCAGCCGCTTCCTCCCATTTTGATAAGCATCCTCTATTGATGAATGCCGACTAAGGTGAACCCAATGAATCACAAATGCTTTCTAACATTAGAAAACAATTAGTAAGCCTAGATCAAAAACAACAATCCAGAGAGTTCATAATAATTATTTCGTGATGTTGTAATCATCAAAGTGAGGTTTACATCACAGCAAGACTTTCATTTTCATCATGTTAAATTTTCATACTTAGTATTCTCATCGTACCAGCTAAATTAATATAAAAATTAGTTCATAGAATTCCATTGTTTAAAAAATAGCCAGTACTTCCTATTATAGCATAGATCTCTTTGATCTGGTCAGAATGTGAATAGTTTGGAGCTTATTATTCAAATTACAACAAATTCTGTTGACTTTTTAGTAGTGTGATAACATCACACTACATTCCCATCATCATTATCATCATTAACCTTATACCAAATATCTGGGGCAAGTTTTATGAATTATCATTTTTCATTCGTCCATGATGTGTACTACCAAAGGCATTAAACTTATTCTTTACAATTTATTTCGAGCAACTTCTATCAATGTAATCTTAAGTCTATCCCATCTCGTTTCTAATTCTCTACCACTTCTTGCTAATCCTCTAACACTTTTTATTCACTTATCTAATGGGTGCTTTTTTTACAATGCATTATGTGTGTTGAACCCGACTAAGTCTATCATTAATTCTTGTATCTTCAACAGTTGTTACACTTTTGTTACTATTTGCTCCTCTAATATAACCATTCATTAACTATCCCAAATAATTTTGCCACACATGCATCTTTATATTACCTTTTCTATCATGCCCTTCAAATGTTCTTCTAACATTTCATAAGCACTGCATGTTCAAAAAATACTAATTATAGAATTTTGTTTTTCAATTTGTTATTTTTAATGCCTTTGTGAAAGTAAATTTCAGCAAAATTTCACAAATCCTCCCTTTTCTCTCTTGAGGCAAATTTCAAATAAAATCTAAGAAAGAATGTTTTTAAATTCAAAATGCAAATAGCAAGCTAATGATATTCATGATGTCATCCATGCTATATAAGCCTTTAAAGTGATAGCATCAACAACTAAATTTCTAAAACGCATAGAAACAATTCACTATTGTAGTGACGACAAGCATACCTTCTCAACATGATCAAAAACAATTACATCATTGTAGAGACCTAAATGAACATCTGGGAGATTCCTATCATCTTTTGGAGAACAAGAGAAAGGAAGTTTCTTCTTTTCAACATATCGTACTGTATCGTAGGAAAAGTATCCTACCCATCCACCTGCAAAGCCATTATGCATAAGTGAGTGAATTTTAAGTATGTGGAAGTCCCTTCACTATTGTGATGTTTGGAAGGTATATATTCACCAAAAAACACAGCTAAATATCTTTGAAACATTTTAATAGGCAATAAAAATGCTTCCGTAAGAAATAGTATGTGATTTGTCACACCTTTTTTTTCTAAAAAACATGAAAAAATGCCTTAAAAGTTGTTGGGCTCAATAAGGTCTGATGCTTTTCTGAGTTCATATATCATAGTTACAGAACTTGAAACACCGTCAATGAAAGTAAACTAAATTCAAATTTACTATCTCGAAAAAAAGAAAATCCCTTTGTTGGCAATAGTTCTAGACAATCAAGCAACACAAGTTAAGTGTAAGTGATGCAGGACTTAATTTGCCTAGATGAGGTTAATTAAGAATTTTGAACTTAAAACTTTTAATGATTTAAACGATGAAATAAAACAAGAAAGGGATGAGACTAGTTTAGGCCAAGCCAAATGCATAGAAGTTGAGATCACAAATTAATTAATTAATCAATCATTGCATACATTGAAGGTTCTCAACGATAAATCCCTACATTAACAATGAGACTAGTCACTGTGAAAAGATCCCTCACTCAACTCTCTAAATCACTAAAATTTAACAGAGGAACATTAATACTATCTTCATGAATCAAATAAGACCACAATTGAAAAGAGACTAGGAAGATAAAAGAGTTGGAGGAAGACTTTGCCCAAAGGAAAGGTGACTCAAAGCTCCGGTGTGATCGTTTGGGAGTTTGAGAGAGAGCGGACAGCAACATACAACTCCTAGCTGCCTTAGGACAGCATTTTGGTGATCTCTGGATGGTGGACAGCAAGCTAACTTGGGCTGGATTCATTGGACAGCAAACTGATTCTCCCGGACAGCACACGATGATCTCCCGGGCGGCCGGACAACCACCAAACAGTGTCCAGAATATCTGGACAGCAATTTGGCAACCCTAGAGTTAGGGTTTAAGAGTTGTTTTGGGGAGAGAGGAAGGGAGGGGGAGGAGGGTGGTCGGCTGAGACTAGGGAAGAAAACTTCTTCCCAAAGAAAAATCTGAAATTGAATTTCAGATTTGGGTAAGGGAGGATTTTGTATTTTGAAATTTGAATTTCAAATAAAGAATGGAGGGAAAAGTATTCCTTAATGAGAGACTAGATTGATGTCCCTAGAAGGAGAGGAGTTAATGGGGGAGAGAATGAAATAATAGGAGGGGGCGGCGGCATGGTGAGTTGGAGTAGGGTTAGGGAGGGTGCATGGTTTAAAATTGCGCAATATGAGGCTCGCCTTGAGGCCCGCCTTTGCGCAATTCAAGTAAAAAACGCCTCGATGTTTACACTTCAAGTTTTTTTTTTATGAGCCTTGCGCCTCAACTTGGTTGAGGCCCGCCTCGCCTCACTGGCATGAGGCTTACACCTCATGCTATATATATTAAAACTTACATAAATCTTGAAGTAAATGCACGACATTAGACTCTATAGGAGAGGAGGAAGGGCAGAGAGCAGTTCACCATAATGATGATTCAAATGAAGAACCACTTAGTGATGATAGTGCTGATGACTTATGAGTTCTTATGTGATATGTCATTGTTATTTATTTTTGAAAATTTGAATTATATGTTAATGAAAAGAATATTGGGATTTGGGAATAGAATTTTGAGTTGAACTATATTTCATGTTGTCTTATTATTAAGATATTTTGATTTTCCTTCATATCTTATGCTGTTTTATGTTTTATATTATTCAATAATTAGTATATAAAAAATTTATCATTTTATGTTTACGCAATCTTTTGATTTTGAGGCTTACGCCTCGCCTCACGAATGAAAAATGCCTCAATACCTAAATATGCAATTTTAAACATTGGGAGGGTGAATTGAAATCTTGCCTAATCAAGACCCTTTAATTGAGGAGGATTTAAATCAAATCAAATTTGAAATTGATTTGACCTTGATTTTAGGAACTTTCCTAAAATAGATTATCTATTTTAGGAAGTATTTCAAAATTCAAATTTGATTGAATAATTGAAATCAAAGCCTTCCAAATGTGATTGTGTAGAGAAAGGAAAGTAATAATGATGGACTTAAATTGTGGCGGCAAGGGAAGGGGCAAGGGGGGCGGCGGCTAGGGTTAGGGTTATGTTGGGGTTGGTGCCGTGTAGGTGGGAGGGGTGACCGATTGGATTGTGGTGGTGGTGGGGTTTGATCAAGAGAGAGGGGGGTGGGTTATGGTCAGCCGGCGGCTAGAGGGGGCATGTGGGGGTTCGACTGACAGAGGGAGGAGGAACTTTGGCCGGCGGTGGAAGGAGAAGGAAGGGATGATGGGGGAGCGACGTTGTCGACCACGAACCTGGACTCTTCCTACGGTTGGTGGGTATTGCGATGCCCTCACCTCGGGACTTCAATCTCTCCAAAGCTCTCTAGCTCTCACAAAACTCAAGGTTGCATAAATTTTCATAATAATAACTCATTAACCTCTCCAAGAGGAGGGGAAGGTTTTAAATAGCTAATACAATGAAGGAAAAATAAAAGACAACTTTTCCCCTAGAGCTTACATATGACTAGACCCTTAAGTAAGGGTAAAAACGAAAAATGCAAACAAATAAAACAAATACATATAATAAATTAAAAATAGATCGGTATGATCGTGGTCGTAGATCGTCGGCCACATCTCTGGTAGACTTTCCAAGGTCAGATGACCTATTTAGTAAGCATGTAATTTTACATTTGATATTGTTAAAATCCCAACCGTCCCTTGGCCTTTGATCCCACGGCCAGCAGGGGGATTCATGGGAGGCTTACCTAGATCACGCTGTTAAATCTCAACAGTCCCTTGGCCCTTGATCCCACGGCCAAGATGAGGATCCGTGAGAGGCTCACCTGGATCACATCGATCTCCTTCCATATTCAGGTGGCTGATTTAGAAAGGATTGTATTAGGACAATTATGCATTATTATGTAATTATTTGTTTCTTTATTAAGATATCCTGTAGATATCTATAAATATGGATAGTTTTGTATAATAAAACGAAGCCTTTTCCTCTCCAATTCTCTAAATTTAACATGGTATCAAAGCCTTGAATCAAAGGAAGCGAAGAGAAGCAACTGACCTTCATTGCTGGAAATATGAGGAATATATGTTCCCACCACCGCCTTCATTTCCGAAATTCTAAGAAATATAGGTTCCCACTACCTACTTTCATTGTCGGAATTTGAAGAATATTGGGCCTTACATCAGCCTTCATTGTCAGAATTCTGAAGAATAATGGTCCTTCCACCAGCCTTCATAACTGGAATTCTAAGGAATACAAGTTCCCACCACCAACCTTCATTGCCAAAATTCTGAGGAATCCAAATTCCCACCACCGGCATTAATTGACAGAATTCTAAGGATATTGGCCTTTCCACCTGCCTTCATTATTGAAATTTTGAATAATATTGATTCCCACCACCGGCCTTCATTGTCGAAATTCTGAGGACCTTCTTGCATTCAAGACCGAAGAGATATCGAGCGAGAGGGCTCCTCTTGTGTGCGATGTCCAGAGTCAACCGAGCAGAAGAGAGTGCATGACCTATCATGCGGGGACAGGGACAAGCAGGAGTGCAAGACCTGCACTCCTTCCTGTGATCAGACTAGAGGGATTATAGGCCTTACGTGTGTCTGTATGGGGTCGATCGAACAGGAGTGTTGAGGCGGAATCAGACGTCTGATTTGCATTGGGTTGAAGGCTGGCTTGATTGGAAGAGAGGAGATTTGCATGCTAAGTGTTGAGCCACTTGAGACATGTTTTTCTGCTGCTGTACAAAAGGAGGCTTTGGCCTTCTTATACATCTCCCAGATCTGAGGGTATTGAATCGAGAACATGCATAAGCGGTCGGAATTTGGGGCAAGGAGGGAAAATTCGAATGGAGTATTTGATGGCGTGACAACAGCTCTTCAACCGCTAGTTCCTTGCTTGATTCGACTCTAGCACATGCGCAAGGGCCGGTCAACCCTGCTTAGGCACACACGCATGCAGCTCTTGCTCGCTCCCTCCCTCGATCCTCTTCTTCACTCAGTTCGGCCCCCATGTAGGCACCACGAGAGCCGCAGGAAGAAGACCTCAAAGGGGAAGCTCTCTCACTTGCTCGGCTGCCCCGGACACACGCGAGCAGGAATAGAACGCAAGAATCAGCTCTCCCTCACTTACGCTCTCATTTTTTAAGAAGAATCGAATGCCTTGCTCGATTGGATGTGAGGAGATTTGCATGCCAAGTGCTGAGCCACTTGAGATGTGTTTTTCTGTCGCTTCCCTTGAAGCTTGTCGCAACCCTAAAAATAGATTTTTCACTAAAGTTGTTCCTTCATTGTTGGCTTCCCTTGTGGTTTCTATCATATCTATTACCAATGCAATCTTCATTACTACCCTACTTAATATAGTCTTCATTGCTATATTTTGCCGCCGCAATGTCTGAAGCTAATTTGTCCCAAAGTATTGACCAAATGGAGGATGGATCCTCTGGTGCATCAAGGCACTTGATAACTTTACTTTTTTGGGACTACTTACCAAACTGGGAATGATAGATTTGTATTCCCCAGCTTGAGGGGGAGTGTTAGGGGAGTGTTAAAATCTGAACCGTCCCCTGGCCTTTGATCCCACGGCCAGCAAGAGGATCTGTGGGAGGCTCACCTGGATCAAGCTGTTAAATCTCAGCCGACCCTTGCCCCTTGATTCCACGGCCAGGATGGGGATCCGTAAGAGGCTCACCTGGATCACGCCGATCTCCTTCCATATTCAGGTGGCTGATTTATGAAGGATTATATTAGAATAATTATGCATTATTTAAGATATCTTGCATAGATCTATAAACATGGATAGTTTTGTATAATAAAACAAAGCATTTTCCTCTCTAATTCTCCGAATTTAACAGATATAAACATTGAATACCAACAATTATCATAAAATATATTAATAAATTGTCCATGTAAAAACCACAATTCATAAAAACATATATAAACAAGTGCATCACCCATCAATTACTAAAAAATTTAAACCAGAAGATTGAAATGAATGGATTCCATACCACAAAAGGACAGCAAGCTATCCATTTAAAAACCAAAATTCATAAACTCATCCAAAATCAAGTGCATTATACATCAATTACTAATAATTGAGGCCAGTACATTCATATGAATGAATTCCATACCACAAAAGGCATCAGGGAGCTCATCAATAAGCACTGGATTCCAACCCTCCATGATTGTTCTCGGAACTTCCATGGGGTCCTCTACAAATTTTTCAGTCTTACGGCCCTCTTCATGATCCAATATAGACACCATATTCTCCTTTGCCACAATTTCCATAGCCGGTTGAGCTCCCACAACACTGTAGCGACCCTAAAGATAACCCAACAATCAGAATTATATATATGAAATCCAAGTTGTTTGTTGAAACTCAACGATGATTTGCTCTTTCCTTTAACACAGATTGGCTTTACGGGAAATTCTGTGATGCAAAACTAATAATTAATGTTCTCAACATAGAAAAATATCAAAGCCTAGTATTTCTTTTACACCTCCCTTGCAACTTTTTGAAGGGTAACCTTCATAACGCGTGAACAATTCTAGTTCCCCCAAAAAGACAAAAAAAATTCCCATAAGCACAAGAAAAGAAAATGTGTTTAATTAAACCAATAGAACATGCCAACTAAACCCAAGAAGACAAAATAGTGAAATACTAAACCTTAAATTTGCAACCCATGAACAACATGACGTCTAATCTAAATGACGACCTGCAAAAAATATAACAATATCAACCGATTTCAAAATGTTTCCAACAAAAACATTATATGAACTCTTTTGGTCAAAAAGCACGTTTTTTAAATGAATGCAATTTGTAAGATTCCGTTATCTTCTTGGATGAAGTCGAAATGATTCTTAAACTGGAAGGCCCCCAAAATAACAATTTTATTTTAAAAAACAAAACAAATCAATGTTTTCTTCGGCAAGCTCTAGATGACTTATGGCAGGGCTCCAAAGGCATGTCTCCGGCAAGGCTCGGCCAAACTCCGGTAAACTCTACTGAGATCCCGCAAACTCAATTGGAGCACTAAAGTCCTTTTCCGATCACCTTTGAAGTCTGGTCACCAGGCTACAATAAGCTCCCGTTACAAAGAATGAAGAAATATAAGAACAAAAGTTTTCACCAGAATCATCCCAATATTAAGATTGACTATCAAAATCACATCCAATCAAACAAAGAATCTAGCAATTTTTTTAAAATTCTTTATTTAGAAAGATAAGCTTAACAAATCCAGCAGATTCATAAAGTCCGCAAACCTAGAATTTAAATTTCAGCCAACTGAGAGCTGAGCACAAGAACAAAAACTAGAAGAAAAATGGAAGAAGAAAGAAATATACGAAAGCATACCACGCTGGTTCCTTGAGAACCTTGCTCCACCGACTCGAACAAGAAACTGGGCGCCTCTCTCTCGTCCTCTCTTACCAGGCAGCGGTAGGCGAGCACGGGTGTCAAGTGATCGCAGAAAATGCATCGATAGAGCGGCACCAAGTTGCCACCATTTCTCGAAGCTTCTTCGAACCTTGCTGCCTCTTCTTTGTTAGCTAGAAATAAAATCAAACGATTTAAGTGCATTTGTTACATGAAGACGTGGAAATCGTCAAATATTCCTTGCGTTGCAGCCAAATTTACTTCACCTAAAAGAGCAGAGGGAGGAGAAAGAAGAGCCCGTCTGAAGGAGGAGATTGGAGGGAAATAATGTTGGCGGGGGGAACATCGGAAGGTTGAAACGGAACTCCTTACGGCGATGGCGCCGCAGCCGTAGGGCCGAGACAGGCGATGGAACGCCGGCGATATCAAGTAGCTTGAGATGCCTAGGGCTTCCATTAATTCTCCGCCGCCTCAACTGGAAGGGAATCTCCAGGCACCGCACGTTTCAACGACGACGCCGAGCTGAACGAGAATTGTCAGGGGTCAGATCACATGTCATCCAATTTCCACGATATTCATGTGTACTTTTGTTTGTATAAACTTATATATTTAACACATGTGATAAAGTGGCCGAGGCTTCCTTTTCGGGAAAAATTATTACGTGAAATGTCTGTTGGTTGGAGTCATGGGACTCTGATTATATTTTTTTCTGTATGTGGTACATTTTTGCGCATGGGCCATGCTAATTTTCTATGTATCGTTCCAATTTTATCGGATGTCTCCGAAGAGACTGGTATATTTTTACTGGTTAGAACATACGATGATAGTAGAGTGGGATATTTTTCGTCTTAGTTTTTCATGAATATTCACACACAATAGAAGATAAAAGGCTAAGGTTTTTAACATAAAAATGTTAGAAAAGAGAAAAAATTATGAGGCCCGATCCAAATGATATCATTATTAATTGAATGAATTACAAAGCTTGATCCGTCATGTAATTCAAAGACGATGAAATTAAAATAGTAAAGAGAGTAAGGTAAAAGACCGGCGTTGGTCGGCGGTCGGACGGAAGCAGGACGTCGATAGGTGGCCAGGTTGAATTTTGGTGTTGGTTGGTGGCCGGGTAGAATTCTGGCTATTATCGGGGGTTGGGCGGAAGTCCAATGTCAGTCGGTGGCCAGGGGGAAGTCCGGTATCTATTGGTGGCCGGCGATGGTCTGACGATAGTTGATGGTCAGACAGTGGCTAAGCGATAGTCGATGAGGAGTTTGATGGCAAAAGAGAAATCAAAATTCTCTTCATTCTTTATCTTCCTTCTTTTCTTACTCTTTTTTGTGATGGATGTGATCTATTTATAATTTTTTGAGAGTGACATAACTAGTAAATAGTGAGAAAATCAAGTACATATTGAGAGTGTTTTGGATGGATGACCGATATTAATTCCCTTGATCATAGATCTTTTATCAAGAATTTGAGTGCCTTGATAATGTCAGATTCAACAATCTTCGACTCGTTGGATTCTTCTTGTTAATCTGCTCGATTCAACTATAAGCATGTTATGTTTGAAAATCATTTGGTCATCCAACTTATACTTTAAAACTTTCAAATGCTCCTCAGACCCTCGATTTGGACCCATTTGGGCTTAAATTGGATTGAATTTGGTGTCATTGGGTTCATCTATTTGAGATGTTCAGTTCGACTAAAAATTTGCTGAAATTGGAGTTTGGATGGTCCTAGATTTAATTCAGAAGTTTCTAATTCAAATTTGTCTTGAGATTCGTGTCCGAACATGATTATTTTTTATTATATATATATGGGATATTTATAAGAGAGAAAATTTAGATATCTTTACATGATTGAAGTTCAAATAAAAAAACTGCAATCTGAACTCCGTATATAATAATCTCTCATTTTTCATCATGTTCTTATCACTTTCTAAACAATTTTTTAAATTGTTAGCTTATAAAAATTTATACTAAAAGATTGTTTTAAAAATAAATAAAAAAATCTACTCCAAAGGAAGCCTAAAGAGTTTATCAAAATATAATTTGACTTAATGGTCCTAAATGCCTTAAAAAATAAGAGTTCATAAAAAAAGATTAAATAGGACAACTTGGCCCACACTTTTGTTTTTCTATAAAAAAAATATTTTTAAAAAATAATTTTTTAACAACAACAATAACAACATCAAGCTTTTATCCCACTATGTAGGGTCATCTATATGAATCATTTTTATCCATTGTGTCCTGTTATGAATCAAATTCTTATTTAAATCTAATAAAGAAAGGTCATTTTTAATATTTTTAAACCAAATATTTTTAGGTCTTTCTTTACCTTTCTTAACGTAGGTCAAATTTAATATATATACTCACTTAACAAGGTCATCGGAAGGTCACTGTTTTACGTAACCAAACCAAGTGGCAAAAGCATCCCTAGTTCTTTATAAGTAACATGATGCAAACTATTCTCATAATTTTAGTATCAGATTTAATTAAAGATTTAATTTAAAAAAACTGATGATTGAGTGATGTTAAATGTTATGTTATGTATAGCATCTTTTCTCTAGATTTTGATAGTTCACAATCTCTAACTCTTCTTTTGCAATTAATATAGTTACAAATCATGTTGAAGGAGTTATTGCAAGTTATATATGAGGAATAATAAAAGTATACTTGAGCTTAATAAATACATCAAATTCAATTCAATATGTAAAAATATCATGTAGTTATTTGAAATTTAATGATAGCCATTCATATCATCTAATCTATAAAATGTCAAACTCTTAACTATCGAGATATTGTCCACTTTATCTTAAGGGCCTCACGATTTTGTCATGTTGGTGTAACTACTCATGAGGTCACAAATCTCAAGATTTCTCTGGGATGAGCATGCTTAACTATGAAATTTTTAATAAAATTCCAACCATTATAATAGAAGACACCTCGATGTTTAAGAGTTTAATTTATTTTTAATTGCGAGATTTCACATAATCTCTCCTCATATAAGGAGTAGGATAAAGTTTAACTGCACAACATCATTAAACTCTAATATTTATCATTAATTATTATCAGAATGAGATTAATGATAATCACCTAAATCTATCATACATAGATATATAATGTCATCTTCTTGATGACAATTTCTCATTTTATAAGGAGAGGAACTTATTAGACCATTGATCATTTCCAGTGTTCCTAGTTAATTATCATTTGATGTCTGCTAATATCTAAAGCTTGTTAACCATTGTTGTCATCTAACATCCTCTTTTTTACTCATTGATTTTCCCTCCTATAAGAAGAATAATCAAGCGTACTATCAATCACCACTTGACATCCAATGCTCTAAATTAATTATCATTGGATACTTGCATTTATCAAGCATCAACTTATGATGCTCACATTCCTTATCGTTAGGCTAGCTCCTCTTTTGTAATGATAATAACTAAGAAAACTACTAACTGTCACTCGACATCTAACTTTCTTAGTCGATCATCACATGATGTTAACTTTCTTGTTTGCATCTTCTTGTTTGTAAGAAAAATGACCAAGCAAACAATTGACTGCCATTTGACGTATGGTTTTCCATTTCCTAATCAATCGTCATCCAATGTATATCAATTAACATCTATCAGCCACAAATGTTGAACAATCGTCTTCATAGTTACTAATCTCTCCCCTTATAAAAAGAATGACTAATTAAATTTCTAGCTATCATTTGATATCTAACTTTCTAAGTTCAATGTGATTTGATGTCATTCAATGCTTGGCTTTTATCAATCAATGATGCTTGACACCCACCATATCGATCATTTGTATTCTCTCATAGAAGGATAATGATCAAACAAACCATCAATTGTCACATGAAGTTAGATGTTCTCAGTTAATTATCATATGATGCCTATTAGTGTTTAACAACACATATGTCGAAATCATGCTTCTTAGTCATTGATCTCTCTTCTTATATGGAGAATGATCAAGTATATCATTGATCATGGCTTCATGTTTAACATTTATTGTCAACCATCACCCAATTTCTTTTAATATAAGATGTATGCAACGCTTGACATCAACATTCAGAATTGTCTATCTTAGTAATAAGGAAAATTGTTGAACATGCTTACCATCACCCATCATTCTATATTCCTAATATACATACATCAATCATTTGTTAATGTTTGATATATGCCAAACATCAACATTCAACACCCACTTTCTTAATCAGTGGTCTTCCCTTGTATAAGAAGAACAGTCGAATAAACAATTCATCATATTCAAATGTCTAACATTCATAGTTAATCATCATCTGAACCATGCTAATGTCTAATATGCATCAACTTTTAGCATCTAATCTCAAACTTTTTAATCTTTCTGTCACCCTTTCTCTACTTGAGCGATTTCGATGACTAACTAATTTTATGACAACTCGGATATCACATGACTCAATATTTCTCTACAGATAATAACTTCCATAATACATAAGTTATATAAAACATTAATGCCCCCAATATTTATTTCTTAAAATAATTTAAATAAATTATGATTCAAATTCATGACATTAGAAATGTATCCCTCTCGGGAAAAATAAAATAAAACCCTCTACACTAATCTTTCACAAACCTTAACATTGGCTTGTTAGGGTTTCAAAGTCGGAATATTCCATCGGCTTCGGGTTGTCTTCTCGTTTATTTCCGCGCTCGCTACTGTTATGGATTTTCCAACACCGGGGAGGCTTCTCCTCAAATTACGTAGATAAATGGCGGACAACGGCGGAGAGCCGAGCTCGGCTCCGAATTCGGAAAGGATTGCACGAGCTATAATAAAATTTTTATATGGCTCTTTCGTCAAACGCGATCGCTCTTTCAAGTAACACTCTGAGGTTATCATAAATTTGTTACTGAGTCTTTTACCCTTTCCTTCCCCTTTATCCATCATCATCATCTTCCCTTCTTTCTTGTCAATTTTTTTCTTGAGGATATTTTGGTGACGCTACTTCTGTTGCGGATTTTTTTTATTGTTCTGTATTTTTGTAGGGATGGGCCTAGTCCATTATATCGGACGACTATCAAAATCCATTACTAATTCTGTTGCTTCTCGCGAGAAATCCACAGTAATCTTTTACTGCGACGCATTGCTTATTGGCCGTTGCTTCAAATTTGGTTCCTCTAGATCTATTTGCACGTTCACCGATCAAATATTCTATAAAAATCCTATCTTTCTCAACAACGAACTATTATTCAGTGAAAACGGCATTCCACTTACACCTCATCGCTTGGTGCTTCAAGTTGGCTTTCACAAGACTTTTCACTTGTCGGACAAAACCCAATTTTTGGTGGAGCCAACAACCAGTGAAACTTTATTAGTTTCTGTGAATAAGAAAATTTCAGAAGATGCTGATAAAATCTGCAGAATGCTCTCTAACCAGTCTGTTTCCAACATCAGAACTTCTCTAGATGACGCTGGACTTAGACTTTCACCTGACATCGCTGCTGAGGTCTTAAAGAAGCTTAGCAATGCTGGAATGGTAGCTCTATCATTTTTTCGCTGGGCTGAGAAGCAAGAGAACTTTACGTACACTACAGAGATTTTTCACCATCTTATGGATGCGCTTGGAAAAATCAAACAGTTTAGATTAATCTGGAGTTTGGTTGAATCAATGAAGCAAAGAGGCCTACTGACAAAAGAAACTTTTGGGTTGATCAGCAGGAGATATGCAAGAGCTAGAAAGATCAGAGAAGCGATTGAAGCTTTTGAGAAGATGGAAACGTTTGGCCTGAAGCCTGATTTAGCCGATTACAACGGCTTCATTGATACCATTAGCAAATCAAAGAATGTTGTGCGAGCTCAAGAAATTCTTTATGACTTGAAAAGGAGAAGGAAATTCTCTCCGGACCTGAAAACCTACACGATTCTTATTGAGGGTTGGGGACAGGAAAGAAACTTGACAAGGATGAAAGAAGTTTATGATGAAATGATCAAAGAGAACTTTGAGCCTGATGTGGTGACTTATGGAATTCTAGTCAATGCATTTTGCAAATCTGGCAATTGTGATGAGGCCCTAGTAATATTCCACAAAATGGAGGAGAAGGGTTGCAAACCAAGTCCACACATATATTGTACTCTGATTAATGGACTGGGCTCACAGAAGAGATTGGATGAGGCATTGAAGTACTTTGAACTATCTAAAGAAAGTGGCCACCCTCCTGAAATTCCAACTTACAATGCAGTTGTTGGGTCTTACTGTTGGGCTTTAAGATTCGAGGATGCTTTCAAAGTTGTTGATAAGATGCAGAATCAGGGCATCGGTCCAAATGCTCGAACATTTGACATAATTCTGCACCATCTTATTAAGGTTGGACATTCTGAAGAGGCATATAAGGTATTTCAGAATATGAGTACTTACAGAGACTGTGAACCACAGCTTAATACCTACACCATGATGATAAGCATGTTATGTGCAGAGGAAAGAGTTGACATTGCACTTAAAGTCTGGAGGGAGATGAATGAGAAGGGAGTTTTGCCATGCATGCATATGTTCTCAGCTTTAATCAATGGATTGTGCTATGAGAATAGGATGGATGAAGCTTGCAAATACTTTCAGGAGATGCTTGATAAGGGCATCAGACCATCAGGCCAGTTGTTTTCTAAATTGAAGGAAACTTTGATAGAGGGAGGAAAGAAGGATTTGGCTTACATGATGTCCATGAAGTTGGATAAGTTAAGAAAGAAACCACTTAATGGTTGATACAGTTTTGCTGTGGTTTTTAATGCTTTGCAATTGGAAACAAAATTCATTTCATGATGATGCTGAAGATGTCCAGGTTAGCATTTCAGTGCATATAATGGCCTTAAGATATGTATTTTCTACTAGGGTGCTTGGATTGCGAACTTTGGCTTGCTGAAAGGCAGACATGCTAGTGCCAGCATAATTGGTTTTCTTGTCGTTTATTATAGGAAAGAGAGCATCCAAATTTGACGCATTGTTGTTAGTATGATTGATATGTTTTACAAAGAAACAAATGCATTGAAAGAAGAAACCAGACATGAAAAGCAGAAAAGGTCTGGTTTTGGTGGAATATGATATTGAGTGGAAGGTAAAGCTCTTTTTGATGATTTTTCAAAGAACTGCAGTTATTAAATGGCTCACGCATAGATTTTCCTAAAATGAAGGCAAGTATAGATTGATATGGCAGGGATGGTGCCACATATGGAGAAGAAAGAGTTTTATCAATATATGGGCAATGCTTTGATCATCCCATTCTTGTTGGGGTATGTTGTTGTTTTCTATTTTTTGCCCAAATTATTCTCTCTTAAACGTGTGCAGTTCTCTCATTAACTAAACACCTCATTTATTCCTGAAAATAACATGTTGGCACTCGTTTGTTGGAATAATTTGGTTTGCGCAAAATAAATCATTTGTTTGTTCTCCTCCTAAACTTGTTAGACAGTATGTTAAATAGTTAAATAGTTAAATACAAAGCATGCATAGTATTTGCCACTATATGCCAAGTTGTTGGGGAAACGCATTTCTCTCAGAGCAATGAAGAATAAGCAACTATTGACAAGATTTCACATGTGTCAATTGCACTTCAGATCAATATAAATTTCATCTGAATTTGACATGATTCTGCATACAATCGAGGACTATATATATACGATGAATCAACAACTTAATTGCTAGTTTGCTTTGAATAAAAATTTGGAATTTATGGAGCCGTTGGAGGGTGTTTCAGTCCCCATGCTTAGCCTACAATAATCTTTCATTCTCTAGTTCAGTTATGAAAATGAAGGTATGAAGTGTTGAGCTTTATCGAAAGTTTATTGGATAATGCTTCTAATGTTTACCAAGTTAGGCTTCATTTAGGACTGCTTTTTTATTGATTCTTAAAACAGTTTTTTAATACTACTAAACAGCTGTTTTAAGAAGCAACAAGAAAACCGCCGCAAACAAAACCTTAGTCTCTTTAGTTCCCAAGTGAATTTTTCTCACTCAATCTCTTAGTTTTGTCCAATTTGATTATTCTTTTATGGTATATCTTGTAATTCATTTTGTAAGATTGTGTCGTATAGATTTGTTGGTAATTATTTGTTCAACACCAAAGTGTAAAAGCAATTTATAAATGTTTTTAATCTTGTTTTAAAGATGTGAGTGGCCTTGTCTGCGAAAGAAAGGCATTATGTTGCAATTCCCCACCAGGAAGAGTGTTGTATTGGGTTGCATTCTCTCATTAAAAATTGTGCAGTTGTGATGGTTTAGGGTAAGTGAGCCAAACCTGCTAGGATGATGACATACATCAACATCTTGCATGGCAGGCACATCAGCCACCAGGATAATTTACAGACATTATCATCTTCATTGTTGATCAACATATGCTCTTGCATGGCAAGGCCTAAGGGTATAAGTGAGCAAAACTGGTTTGAGCTTGACTTGTTAACGAGTTCACAAGTCAAATTTGTCGAGCCACAAGTTCGAGTTAGAGTCTATACTCGAGCTTGTATATCAAAAGAGCTTGAGCGAGCTTAGTCTGGTTGAACTCAAAAGTTCGTTGAATTGCTTGATTAAATTAAAATATATTTAAAAATTAATTTAAATTAGAATTATATAATATATTTTATTTTCTTAAACTAATTATATATTAAAATGAAAAATTCTAAACAAATTAAATTTTAATTTAAAAATAAAAAATCATGCTCAGCAATCAAGTCAAGCTCGAGTTGAGCTTGAGCTCTAGCAACCGAGTTTAACAAGTCAAGCCGAGCTTAATAAACAAGCTTGAGTTGAGCTTGAGCTCAATAATAATTAAATAAACATAGACCATATCCAGCCGTTCGGCAAACCAATGAATAGAGGCGCGGAAACGTCCCAACCGAACGCCATATTTTCTGGCAATTGCTTGCGGATGAACAGTCATCCGCCATTTATTTTTTTTTTTATAATTGATAATTTGTTTATATTATTTCCTTAAAATAAAAATATGTTTGATTTAAATTATTCACTTGATATTTTTAAACTAAAAAAAAAACAATATACTCACAATTAAACAAACACAATTCAACATAAATACTTAAATAGTAAATATTTAAAATTTTGATATCAAATTTATCTATTTGTTGATTTTAAAATTGTAAATAAAAATATCAGACAATTATTTGCTATATATATTTTAATTATATTTATTTATACTATTATCACATTATTATTATGAATAAATAGATTATTTTTATTTTTTGAAGAAAATCTAAAAAATATTTGAATCTTAAAAATAATATCTCATTGCAATTTTGTTTATATAAATTTATTGTCGAAATTCAAAAATCTATTTTTAAAACTAATAAAACACCTAAAATAAGTTTTCTAAATTTTATAACTCAAATTTATTCAAAAAAACAAAAACAAAACCAAAAACTTTGCCTAGTTATTTGTAAATGCAAATTGAATGCACACAATAAAAGTATAAAAAATGAAGCTTCTTAGTAAATTCTGAAACTGGCACTGCCACTACTTTCAGTTTAGCTTACAGGTGCTCGGAAAAACTAGCTAAAATACAAACACACAGCATATAATTTCTTAAACATACAGCAAGAGAAAATTTTAACCCCTTCACACATTTTCTCCATCTCTTTCTGAAACAGCTTCCCCAAACAGCTTATATTTGCGCTACAGTTGTATAAATCGCTAAACAAATCTTCCTCTTTAAAATTCTGCAGCTTTCTCCATGGAGATTAAGGTTTCATTTGGGATGATTTTCTTACTGCTTTTTAAAATAGTTTTTAGTGCAAAAATTAAAAATTTTATACTTAAAAACTGCTTTAAAAAACAATAAAAAAGCCCTCCCAAACGAAGCCTTATACTAATTCTATAGGCTCCGATGATTTCTCAGTAGTCAAGTAAAAAAAATTTCTTTTATACTGGTGCCTGCATCTCTTTCGCCTGCTCTCTGCCTTTATCCTCATTTCCACCGCCAACTTGGTAACCATATTGAGAAAGGTTAAGTTCTGATGGCAAATTCTTCTTGGCCTTTTTACTACCTTCTATCTTCCACAAATCCCACACACGAGTCTTTGGAGGAGGCGTTGAATCTGCAATTGGTGCAACCAAGCCTGGTTTTCCATCATCTATGACAGAATCGACTAACCCATATTCCTTTGCTTCCCAAGGATTCATGAAATTGTCTCTGTCTGTGTCTATTTCAATCTACAAGCACAAAGAAGCATGAAGAGATAGTAATGGCTGCTGCAATAGTATTGCAGCAGGAGCGAAATAACAAATTTTAAAAATGATGAAGTTTAACGACTAAGGAGAGAGAAATCAAAATATAGTATCAATCACCTGGTGCTCGGGTTTCCCAGTGATTCTTGAGAAGATTTTGTTAATCTTAACTTTGTGGTACATCATCTCCCTGATCCGTAGGCCCATATCTGTTGTCTGAAATAATAAATAATTGTGGAATCAAAATTAGAGAGGAGATTACATAATTTACCCAAAAATTGGTTATAGTTATGTAAGACTTTTCTTAAATCCAAAGGAAGATGCCTTTTGAGTAGATATGGTGATGCGGACATCCAACCGTCCATAGCTATCCGAAGAGCTGAAGATCAACGGCTGTCATCGTCCCACTTTATCTTATATTTTATTTGTACTTTTTAAATTTTTATTATGAATTTTTCGTTTTTACCCTCACTTAAGATGGTCGTCCTACGTAAGCCTTAGGGACATATGTGTCTTGTTTTAGTTTTTTAGGCCTATATATAGAGGCCCTTTCTTATGTAATGGGATGATGAATTGTTAATGAAAATTTGTTTTTGCGTTCTCTTTGTGAGTTCCATCTTTTAGATCTCTTAGTGAATTCTTTTTCTTTTGAGATTTCTTAGTGAGTTCTCTACTTTGTGTTCTCTTTGTGAGTGCATCCCTCTCCCAAATCTCTTAGTGAGTTTTGGGAAGAGCTAGATCTCTTTGTGAGTTCTAGACCTTCCTCCAA